TTCATTCCATTCAAGCGCTATTACACATCTTCCCATTTTACCCCTGGTATCTATCATGAACGCAGAAAAATCAGCTAGATATCAATTGATTTCCCTCCAAATCGGAAACAAATTAGCAACCACAATCTCCAAAATCGCATAAAATCAGCCACGTATGGCAGCAGATCGTCTCTATATAGGGTTTCATTCGACCATTCTTAGTACTGGTAATCCCCTTTTTAAGATTTCTTTCAAGTTGATCTGAAGTTATACTCATCAAGAAACGTCATTTGTGAAGGTTAGCATCTCTCTGCCTTTATTTTTGTTTATCTAATTTCTGAATGTGTTCTATTCATTGCGTGTTCTTCTTTCTATGTGCCACTGATATCATATAATTAGAGCTGTAAATTATTGTTTGTATGCTGTATAAATCTGATAAGAAAACTTGAATTTTGTAAAAGGGGGATGAACATATGTTGTGTATATGCCTGTAGATTTAGATTGAATGGGATATAGGATTAACAAGAATCTTTCTAAACGCTAGAATGTTGTTTCATCCCTTTATTCAGGTCAAATCATTAAAACATTTTTTAGCTGTCGTTCTAAAAAGAAAATCATAAAAACTTTACATTCCAACCATATAGCTCTTTTTATTTCATATAGACCCTAAAAACGAAGAGTTCTACACCCATCTTCAGATTCCAAGATGGTGTCATTTCAGGGGGTTTTGATGACAGGTCTGGAGAAAAATCTGTCACAAAATATGCATGCAAGAAAAAGATACCATATCCAGGGATATGTAATTTGTTCATGAAAAAAAACAAACAGACACACACACACACAGAGTTTCCCACCAGTTTGACCTGGACAAAAGAAATATGACAAGTTTGATGATAGATTTACCAAAAAAAACACATAAAAAAACATAGACCATAAATCCAAACACACGACTAAAGTTTAGTTTGACCTTAAGAAACCATGAGATCTGAGTCACAAAGTCTAGTTTCCATCTCATGATATGCATACATTACATACTACTTCATATATAAAAAATTTCCAAACTCAACTCACCTCAAAAGTCAGAACCTTCTCATGTACTTATTCCCAGGACCGATTATGGTAAAATCAGTTGGGTTCCTGTTTAACAAACACACCAGGGTCCTCCTCTTACCTGGCGTACCCGTAACCACCGGACCCGGATCCTTTGACCCACCCACTCCCACCAAGGGCTGACCCACAACAGTCCGCCCAGTCCCACTTGGCATGTCATATGAACCACACCTTTTCGGATTAGCCTCCAGTGCCACCTCAGCTTTAACCATTAATAAATTTTATATGCTTTCAATATTTCATTATTTTACAAAAATTTATTACTATTGCAGTTATGGCTCGCCTTAAAATGAATAGACAAAAAAGAACAAAGAAACTTGCTGCATTTAGTACATTGTGGATTGAGATAATCAGTTTGGTAAATTGGTATTTTCAACTAGTGAGTATTATTATTGCCATACATATATTTATGTGTCCAACTAGACCTCACTACAAGATGTTATACCCAGAGAGAAAGCAGTATATGCAAAGATTAGTGTACGAAAGTGATGAGACTTGTACACAACAATTAAGAATGAATAGGGTAACGTTTGTTAAGCTTTGTCATATGGTTGAGATTGATGGCAAGTTAAAGGCCTCTAGGTATCTCCAAATTGACGAACAAGTGGCGATATTTTTGTATGTTTTGGCCCACCATGTGAAAAATCGTGTGGCGAAGTTTCAGTTTCATAGATCAGGAGAGATAATTAGTAAACATTTCAATAATGTACTCAATGCTGTTATTCGGTTGGAAAAAGAATTGTTTAAGAAACCCGAGCCTATATTAGAAACTTCAACTGATGAAAGATGGAAATGGTTCAAGGTATGTGATAGACCTGGCAATTTCAGACACGAAGACACGAATCTGTGAGAGACACGACACGACACGAATACATGACACGAATACATCTTAAAAATTGAGATAAAGCTTATTTCTCATTGTGTAATCGTATCGTGTCAAATTCGTGGCTGACACGTTTTCATGACACGAATACACGAATTGCCAGGTCTAGTATGTGATTTGCTAAACTCGAGTGTATATAGATTATTCTTGGTTAGTATTCTAATTCTCATACATATTTAATTTTGGCTATAGGGATGTTTAGGAGCAATAGATGGGACACACATAAGTGTACATGTACCAGAGGCAGACAAACCTAGATACAGAAATCGAAAAGGCGAAATTACAACGAATGTACTTGCTGCTTGCACTCCTGATATGCAATTCATTTATGTATTACCAGGCTGGGAAGGATCTGCTGCAGATGGTAGAATACTGCGTAGTGCAATGCTTCGAGAAAATGGATTACAAGTTAGTAAAGGCAACTATTTATCTTGTTGATGTCGAGTACACGAATGGAGAAGGATTCCTCGCACCATTCAGAGGTCAAAGATATCATTTGAATACTTGGTTGAATGGTCATCGTCCAGAAAAGGCAGAGGAATATTTTAACATGAAGCACTCACCTGCAAGGAATGTCATAGAACGTTTAAAGATTGATAATGCAACAAGTACCTTTAATGCGGTTTTTGGGATCGAGAGAGATAGAGAAGACCTACGTAAAAAACTTAATTCTGAGATGAAAAAAGTTGTTGGTTTAACTGTCCGTGATTGTAACAAGGCAGTTCGTATGCTTTCAAAGAATGATGAGTTGATGGTAATCTTCTTTACCGTTGAGGATGAAGACAAATTTGAATGGGTAAAGGACTTGCTTGAAGATGATGCTTAACGTTATTTATATGGTTTTTTATGATATTGCAGTTTTTTAAGTTATGAAAATTATGATAATTTTAGTTTGTTAGTGTTGGTTAGACTTTGATATGTTTTTATGAGATAAAGTTTTTTATTATAAATAAAAGTTCTTATTTATATAAACCATTTAGAATAGAAACTACAATTTCCAAATAGATAATGTTAAATTTTATTGAATTCTATGAATTTTGTGTTGTAAGGGTATTTTTGTCATTGTAAATTATTTTTATTCCATTACTTTCTCTTTTTTGTACATACCAAACAACATGGATGAATGAGTCGTTCCATTCCATCAACTAACCAAACATGACAATGGAAGGGTAATGAAACATTCCATTACCTCATCCATTCCATTACTTAGTCAATTCCATTCCACCCAACCAAACACACCCTTAATGATTAAGGTGTAAGTTGAAATTTGATTTAAATCTAATTGATTAGATTAATGAAGTTGCCATAAATCGTCAAACGGATAAATTCAAAATCCCTTTAAAGAATCGTTTTCATAGCACTTGACTCTCTCCACCTCCGAAACCGACTCTACTCCTTCGATTTTATTCCCCCTCTCGCACAACTCCATTAAATCAACCAATACTTCAAGCCCTAATTTACGCCTCTTTTCCTTTTCACAAATTCCCTTTTCTCTTTCCAACAATTTCTTCTTCATTCCAGTGTACGACGTTTTTTATTCCTTTTTCACACGCCGGGATCTGACGTTTCAAATAATGGTCGTCAACGGCCGTCCATTAAAGAGGATGAAAAGAAGAGTAACCGCCGACCTCAACGATTTTCTAACTTTCCCCTCCGGCGATTTGACGCCGACGGCCCCTTTCCGTACCAGCGTCCGTGAGTTTTTGCTACGGCACGCGCTCCTACCCCCGTCGTCGTCTCTCCTACCGCATCTGCTGACGTGGCAGATCCTGTTCCGGGTTGGGGAACAGACGAGCTCCGCCGTGGGCGGTGGTGATGCGTCTGTTTGCCTCGATGTGGTGGAGGAAGACGTGATCAGATGAAGACGTGATCAGATATAGGTCGGTTTATTGCGATCAGTGCCGAGTTGTTGGTGAGTTAACTCAACTCGACCGAATCTGATTCAGTTTGACTCGGTCATCTTTTGCATGTTTTCTTGCTTTTGGTTGGTTGTTGCGTTCTCGAAATATCCAAAATCAAATTAGATCTCAAATTTCTCGTATTCTCAATGCGTCTTTAATATTGCCAGCTGGATTGGCGGGAAAATTGGTGATTAATTAATGATGGTAATTTTGATTTGTATGGCTGCTTAAGCTTAATTAGTGCTAATCATCAATTTTGTCGAAGATAAACTAATAATAAAAATAATTATTTTATTAATAAAATAATAAAATAAACAGTTTTATTATAATAACTAGAAAGGTTACCCCCGCTACGCGGGGGCCAGAAGCTTTCAATGTTGTTTCCGAATTGATAAATATGACAGACATAGAAAGTGTAAGGATGAAAAGTCCGGGCTTTGCCCCGGACAAAAAATGTAAAAGTTTTGACTGCAAGGACCAGAAGTGTGAAAATGGCTAAAGAATTAAAGGGGTAGGAATTAGCAACTTTTTAGAAAAGTGATCAAAGTTGTCAAACCGTTAAAGTTTTGTGGCAAAACTTTAAATATTAAAAGGTTCCAAAAAAGTGTAAAAATATTGATTGCAAGGACCAAAAGTGTCAAAATGGGTAAAGAATAATGAGCAAAATGATTAAAAGTGATAAAATTCACAAACATAAAAAGTTTAGGGACCTGGAATGTAACTTAAGGGACCAAAAGAAACAAAATTTATACCAAGTTTACTATTGCTTTCTCCCACAATTTTAATATATATATAATAATAATTTAAAACTCATGGACATGTGGGGGGTTTGTCATCCGGGTAGATATGATTGATGCTGACACATTACTTGGTGACATTAACGACATTCGTGGGTCTTCTTGTTTGGTACGTGTCTTTTTAGTCACGTACTTTTAGCTAAAAAAGTTGAAACAAAATTTATTTCAAATCACTTGATTTTTTTTAGATATTATATATATTTTATTTAATAAACTCGGTATTACATTATTATGTTTATTTTGTTTTATTCATAAATAATATATTATATTTATGTCATACGACGTCGTATTGAGTGTTTCTTGATGTGCTTGAGAATCGTACTTTCACCTTGTCTTTACCTCTTTCCCTTTTCTATCTATCTCCATCTTTACGTTTCCATTAGCGTATTCTCCTTGAAATTCCAAGATCGTATTTCCATCTCCCTCCTTGAATGATTAATTAAATTTAGGTACTAGATCTAGTCAAGGGTCCGAAGATCGATACTGATTGATGGGTGATTTCTTCGCCAATCATCGACATGGTATCTGTTCCAGAATCACCGGCGTTCTGTTCAGGCATCATCGTTTTTCCGGCGGCAAATTCAGCTGTATCTGTACTCATTAGTGCCAAATGCTCTCCGATCTCTCTGATCTCGTCTGATTTTGTTTATTCGTAGTGTTTAGGCAGCGATTTGTCGATAATTCCAAGTTATTTTGCTTTGGTCTGGTTTCAATCCGAAATTGCTAGTTGATTTTTGTGTTATTAGGTTTTACATGTTCAAACATTGCATAAATCCGATGACACATGACACTTTCTCTCAGATAAGATAATTCTGTGTTTTATTCATTGTGTTCATGTAATTTATGTTGTATTTTGAAGATAGGGCTTGAAAGAGCTATTGTGTTATAAAGAATAATTCACTTAATATATACAAAGACTTGGTATAACTTGATTGTTATATGTATATGAAGGTTGGAGCGGGAATCCTGTATGTGGAAAGAGATACCATTTCATAATAAAGGGTGACGGGGCTTCCATTGGTGGTTATAACAAGTCATGTGCTGGTTGTGGTGCTTCCCTCCATTTATCTGACTCAAGGTCTGTGTGTGTGTATGTGTCTCTGTATGTTTTTCTTGTTATCTCATGTAAATTCTACACAAAGAAACCAAAATCATAAATAAAAACCATGTATCCCAAGTATCCAATTAGTGCTGTATGTAATCCATTGTGTTAATTGTTAAAGGTGTATATTAAGTTCATATACATTCTTTATGTTTCTGCAAAAGGTTATGTAAAGATACAATCCTTTCATAGTAATAATGAACACATTATGTATCATTTATCAAAGAGTATGTGTAATGATTTTGAGGTTTTGTAGGTGTAAGACATGTAACCATGTGATGACTACAGAAGATATAGAGGATTGGATGTATAACCAATTGGATGATACCAATCATCTTTTACATGGTGTAGTTCATGTAAATGGTTATGGACATCTTCTTAGAGTCAATGGGAGAGAAGGTGGGTCAAGGGTCCTTTCAGGCACTCATATCATGGACTTTTGGGATCGACTTTGTAAAGTTCTTGGAGTCAGGTTAGGAATCTCTCCTTTTTGGGTGTTTTTTTTGTTATTTTTTTTTCTTCCATTTTTGGGGTTTGTCTGTTGCATAAAGCAATGAAAATAACAGTTGAATACAAGGATTTTTCAAAGTCAAAATCTATAAAAGAATGAATAACAAGTTTATCGAATTTTGCAATTGTTTAGTAGGGAAAATACTGTAAAGCACTTGTACTTTTGCTATTTTCTTGTTTTTGGTTACTTAAACTATTTTCTGTACTGATTAAACATTATCCTTTTTTTAACTGATTTAAGAATCCATTTTTCTGGTTTTGATATCGTGGCATTTAGAAAATCACAATGCCATTTCACTAATAGTTCAGTGGCTAAAGTGATAATAAGATGAAAGTAAGCTATGTGTGAGTGTATGTTTTTTTAATTGTTAAGTCTTTTTGAACACACAGTGACTGAAAAAAAAGGTACTTTTAAACAGTTGTGATTGGTATAATGGTTTGTTTAATCACTCTTGTTTTCTTTTTCTTAATTTTAAACTTTTAGAAAACAGAGTGACTGAAAAATGATACTTTTAAACAGTTTTAATAGGTATAATGGTTTGTTTAATCACTAAGAAATTGGTTAAGCTGTCAAATTTTTTAAATGGTGAAATACATTTTGCTTTTCAGTTTTTTATCCTATAAAAAGCATTTTGGTAATCTAAACCAATTGGAGTGCAATGGAAACTAAAAGAAACCCTAAATAGTTAATCAAACAACATATAGTTCAGTTTAGTTTTCATCTTTTGTTTTAGAACAAAAAACCCCAACTCAATTTAAAATATACTTTAATTTTTTTTTCTTATGACCTTGCACTTCAAAAAATTTATCAAAATCAACCCAATTCTAACAAAATTACTCTGTATTTCAATGACACAGACAAGTGAGTGTCATGGACGTATCAAAAAAATACGGTTTAGACTTCCGACTGCTCCACTCAATAATCAAGGGTCATCCATGGTACGGAGACTGGGGTTACAAATTCGGTGCGGGAAGTTACGGAATTACCCTTGAAGCCTACAACACTGCTATCGAAACCCTAGCAAACACACCCTTATCCACCTTATCACCCCAACCCCGTAAACCCAGAACACATCTCCAAGATTCAATTTCCTTCTACCAATCCTTATCCGATCACAAACTCCTAACTTTTCAAGACCTTTTCCAATACCTAACAACCCTAATACACGATGCCAACAAGGTCGATTTTCGCTCTTCAAAGAAGGCTAAATTGAGTGATTCGAGGGTGTTGTGTGCGTGGAGTATGGGTGATATACTCCGTGTTGAGGAGGCAATGTTTAGGGTTTTACGCGCGGTTAGTGGGTCCGCCTGGGTTAGCTGGCGGTCCCTACGTGGGGCGGTCTGTCGGGTGGGTCGGCCTGAGCTTTTGGATTATTGTCTTAAGGAGTTGAAAGGGAAACAAGCGGCGGATGGGATGGTGATTAACGCGCGTTTGAATTCGGATTCCGGTTCTATCGAATATCGGTTAGTTCTAAATTTTGTTTTAAGTTGTTTATTATAGTATCCTACTTTTATTTATAGGATAATGACATAAAAGCCCTTAAGTTACGCAGATTTGTGTAGATTTACCTTTTTGTGGATTTTAGGTTCACTAAAATCGGATTTTTGCAACTTTTTTTTTTTTTTTTCAATTTTACGTTTTTTTGTAGATTTACATGGTAAAAGCGAACATTTCTGTCTAACTTAAGGACTCTAATGAATCGAAAAACCAAACTTAAGGGCTTTTAAAAAAAGGTAAAACCGAACATTTTGAAAATTTTTCCAAGAAAATGAAAATTTTCTGTTTTCCAAATTGTATGTAAATTAGAAAAGTGATTTTTACAATTTTCTAAAATTTCTGACCAAACATGTTTTCTAAAAATATTATTGAAAACTGAAATGAAAACTAAACTCTATTTTCTAAACATTTTCTTGGAAAATTAAAACAGTTTTTCACAAGCAAACGCACCCTAAGGCTTTTAATATACCAGAAATACACAAAAGGGTAAAATTGAAAAAAAAAAAGTTGCATGCATCCGGTTTTGGTGAAGCTAAAATCCACAAAAGGACAAATTCGTACATTTCTCTCAAACTTAAGTGCTTTTCTGTCATTATTCCTCCATTAATTTATGTTATAATATTGTTGATTTCGAAAGTACAATACTAAAACAAGAAAGTAATCAATGTAGGTTGGAACCGGGAAGCGGGAATTCAATCTCGATGACCAACAATCCGAAATTCCCAAATTGCCCCTCGGAAGATCATTTATTACGAGATCTAAGATTCTTATACGAATCATTACTCCGTCCTCCTCAACACACAACACCACATCACATAACAAACCAAACCTCCTCCGCCCAAAAAATCCTTGACTGCAAACAATTTGTAAAAAACTACCACCCCGAACTCCAATTCCCAAACTCAAAACCGCATTCCCTAATCCTAAACTGCAAACTCCAACTCACGGAAGAACCAACCACAATTAACCCACCTCCCGAACACCTAATCCTTCCCTCAAACGCAACAATCCATGACTTAAAAACCGAATCCTCGAAAGCTTTCCAAGATGTTTATTTAGTTCTTAGAAGGTTTGAAGCCGATGAGCTCGTTGGATATGGAGGTGTCGATGAGTCCACCCAAATCAAGCTCTTAATCGGGTCGAATAATAATAATAATATTAATACAGTTACAGTTAGTGGGAAGTGTGTTGGGAATGGGAATGGGAATGGGAAGATCGGGTTGACTCGGTACCGGATGGAGAGAGGGGTGGAGACGTGGACGTTGGATTGTCGGTGTGGGGCGAAGGATGATGATGGAGAGAGGATGTTGGCGTGTGATGGGTGTGGGGTGTGGCAACACACGAGGTGTGTGGGGATTGATGACTTGTGTGTGGTTCCGGTGAAGTTTGTTTGTTGTAAATGTGGCGGAGATGGTGGTGGTGGTGGTAGATGAATTTTTTTAGGGTTTTTTTTTTTTTTTTTTTTTTTTTTTTTTTTTTTTTTTTTTAAATAAAGTTTTAGTTTTGGATGGGATTTTGGTGTTGGGAGGCTTTGAAACGGTGTAAATATGTGGGACTTTTGGGTTATAGCCTCTACAATAAAAACACTCGTCCTTGATCACTCTTTTTGTTTTCGTCTTTTATGGTTTTCATGCGAAATAATGATTTTTTTAAGCAATAAGATTAAGATCTTGTAAGGTTCAAGACTTTAAGTTAAGGGGTGGAAGATAACGGAGTTTCATCTTCTTAAATATTAAGTCCTTGACCCATGACACTATTAATACTCCCACAAAAACTTTTCCTACTCGAGGATTATTGCCTAAATCGATTCCTAATTTGTCTCAAGAATTTTCTTTAATTTTATCTGCATCAATTTATATTCAATACATAACTTTTAAGGCTCTTTTTGGAAGAAAAAAAAAACACACGTAAAGCTCAATTTATATTCTGTATAAAACCATATAAAATTTCAATCTCGGAAATAGAAAAATACAAAAAAGAAAAAAAATGATTTATCAGATTAAATGGTCAATCGCTTTTTTATTATTTTTATTATTATTATTATTATTATTTTTTAATCTTATTTGAAAATAAGTAGCTTTACTTTTTTATTTATGAAACCCTTAAAATCATGTCGTTGATACCATATGTTTACTCAAAAGTATTGAAGGACTTAATTAATGTAATTAAGATAAAATGATAAATATTCAATATAAAAAAAATAATAGAATAAATAACGTAAATATTATAAAATGCCGAATTTAGTATCAACTAGTGGGTGCGTGAAAGCATTATATTCTTTAACGACTTCAGCTTGAGACAATTTCTCTATGCACAAAAATCACACCAGCACCAAATAAAACATACAAAAATATTGTAAAAAATAATCAATTACCTTCATAATTAACTAATGACTCCATCCATCCGCGATGAAAAGACGAAATGCCACTTCTAGAGGACCGGCACACCATATATATATATATATATATATATATATATATATATATATATATATATATATATATATATATATATATATATATATATATACTAGCCGTTTACCAGCGCCAAGCGTCGGGTGCGAATAATTTCTTTTAGAAATTTGTTTATAGAGGCGATTAATTATTTTAAAATAACTCATGACGGACACATAAAACATTCGACATATGGGGTAGGGTGTGTTGTGTGGGGGTTGGTGGGTAGCTGAGTAGGTATGGGTATAGTTCCTTTTGTTAGATAGTCCCTTTTGACACATAGGATATCCAAAAACATGTAATATTTGAAATAACATATGACAAACACATAAAACATGTAAGGTACATTAATAAATTATTTTTAAATGTTGCTAGTTTTTATTAGAAACTGAAGTGAACTATATAGGAAATTTTGTAAACACATAAAAGCATTCGACAAAACAGTTACAAGAAACAAACATAATAGAAAATTTTGTAAACCGGTTAACACAATAAAAAAAATAAGATGATTGCATTGAATAACAAAAAACTATTTTCTTTTGACTGATTTATCCTATAGTCATTTTATTCATTTTCATTAAACTATTAAATTTCAGTTTTTGTGACAAAATAGAATATAGATAATATTTTTTTAAGAAAACCAACAACCACAATTTAACATAAAAATAATTAATTTCAAATTTTTTCTTTTAATGTCATTGACTTGTTTGTTCAAAGATAAATGTACGTTTAGATAAGTTGGATGCTCTTTGTACAACCCTTTGGTTGTGTTCCATAAAATTTTCTAAAGCAGGATGTTATTTCATGTAAATACCATACCAAGTACAATGATCTTTCAATGAAAAAACAATATCAAGTAACAGAAAACCAAATAATAAAATCATAGTATGTTACCATATTATGGAAAAATGTCATACAAGTGACAAAACGTGAAAGGAATGTTTACTAAATTATAACTACTTAAAAAATTAATTGAAACCACTCATGTGTGAAAAAACATATAATGGTCCGTGTTTAAAAAATAAATAGAAATAGTCCCTGTTAAAAAAAAAGAAGCACAAATAGTCCATGTATTAGAAAAATGAATAAATGGTCCCTGTATACATAATATTAACTGAAATGGTTCCATATTAAAAAGAACACATACATGGTTTGTGTTTAAAAAATAACAAAAATGGTCCCTGTTTAAAAAAAATGTATATATTGTCCCTATCTAGACAATGTTGACCGGAATAAAATGGCCAACTTTTAAAAATAGTTAAAATAAATGGTCCCATAGTACAATAGATTGCCTGAAAAATAAACATGTTTATATTACATTGCCAACATGTTGGATGTATTTTGTCAATCCTAAAACTATAAACACTAAAATTAATTTATAAAAATAAGTTAAAGTACATTGCCCTTTGACTACAATCATATCAGGTGATAGAAAACCAAAAAAAAAAAAATCAAATTACAATGCCCTTTCATGCTAAAAATCATACCAGGTGACTGGAAACCCAAAATAAAAAGTACATTGCCCTTTTTCGAAAAAAAAACCATACCAAGTGGGCATATCAGATGCAAGGTCTTTGATTTGAAGGATATATAAGAAAATCTCTTCAAACAATGGTTGGTAACTACAAACACAAACAATGGTTGGTAACTACAAACACAAACACAAGCAGGACCAAAATAGACACAAATAATCATAAATTTTCGGCATTTGGACAATTTTACCCTTCTCTTCATTTTCTGTCAAAACTTTGTATTTTTGTGTTTCTGGGGTGAGTTGAGTCGAGGGGCTTGTTACCTGCAACATATACAAAAGGTTTTTTTTAGTAATCTAAACAAAGAGAAACATACTAAAATACCTTCACAAACCAACTTTATCTATTAATTATCACCTTGACAGAATGGTATGAACACAAAAGATTAATCAACACACACTTCTAGTTTAAGAAACTTATAAGTTCTTCATTCTTCGTTTTATATACAATCTTAGTTATCATTTATCATTAAGAAAATAACCAGGCATCCCAGTTATCAAAGAATGTTCTAATATCCAGATAATTTTTTAAAAATTTTATTCTATTTTAACATGTAAAAAAGTGAATGCAACAACTTTTTATCTAAAGCACTTTTAACTCAATTTAGTTTAAAGCATTAGCTACAAATTATTGTTTGACATCAGGTATGTTGATACATCTGGATCCTTTCAAACATATAAATAAATAAATGCATCATTTTTAATGACGCTAAATTACAATATTTTTTGTCTTTGTGTTTACCGGTCTCAATATGTGAGAATTAGGTCAAATAGAAAATATATTGGAAAAACTTATCAGGTAAACGTCGATAACGACTGAGGAATGAAAGAAAGAGATGAATCAAAAATTGATGGCTTAGCATTGTCCTTGTCCTCGCCTCTTCACTGGTGGTGACGGTTTGGGTTGTGAGACTGTTAGGGTTCTCATCAGGGCCGACCACGAGATTTTGTAGGCCCTGAGCAATTTGGTAAAAAAAAGCCCCAAAATATGTTATAGAAACATGTAAAAATGGACTATAATTGCTAATATAATCAGGTTGCACCGGTCGTATGCTGTCGAGTCATATCCAAAAGTCTAATAGAATGCTATTATAGTCGAGTCAACATACTAACTATATATGTTGCATACAAAATAATTGCCCAAAGGTATTTCATCATTTCTAATGGCTAACCCAAAATGTCTTGGAATTATTTTGTTTTATTTGTTTGGCAATATTTCCAGCCAACTCCATCGCATATGTGCCTACAAGCAACAATATAAAGATTAGAAGATGTTCCATTTATTAGTAATTCATATCAAATCTCGAACCAAGTAACATCATTTTTAAGCTTTGATGTCCTTTGTTTTGATACAAATCTTTATAAGGATTAAGGAAATGGAAAACATAAATAAGTCAATTAATATGAATATACAAAATCCGTAGAATAAACATTTAGCTGATCAACAAATTATAAACCCATCATCATTAGCATGCAATGTACTAAAAAAGAAGCTCGATTTCTTCTTATTGTGTGTGTGTGTGTGAAAGATCAAATAAGAACCCCTAAAGTTAAGATCCATTTAAAAACCTTTCATTAAGGGTATTTGTGTTATTTCAGTTTTTACATTACAATCACACTAAATACTAAAAGATTATTTTCATATTTATTACCAATTTTTCAAACTCAAATACTCTCATCTCTCTCTCTCTCTCTCTCTCTCTCTCTCTCTCTGCCACTGACACCGTCTGCACCAACGCTACCAGAAGAATATCGCCGACGGTAGACCATAACATTCAGATCTGGAACTGCTTCAGATCTAGGAACTGCTTCAGATCTAGAACCACCACCTTCAGATCTGGAACCACCGCCTTCATATTTACAACCAACACTTCCAGATCTACAATTTTCCAACGTCACTCTAATCTGATCAGATATGTTCTTTTTGGTGCGATTTCTTTAGATATGATATTGTTACAATCACTGTCGACGACACGACTACATGTCGATGGACGTCGTCGTTGGCCGCACAACTTCCCCCAGAATGTCAAGTCAAGTCAGAAACGTTTTTTCACTTTAGATCTAGAACAACCACTAAAAACAACCTTATGAAGGTGTTTCAGCTTCAGATCTATTGTCAACCGCCGCACCACCGCCTCTGCCGTCTCCTACCACCGTTGAACCACCATCATCAGATGTACAAGCTTCGACCGGTTCAGATCTTTGATTTCTGCCTCAGATCTACGATATTTGTCTATAGATTTTTGATTTTCTACTATAGATCTATGAAGTTTTGGTGAGGATCCACCCTTCCTTCAGGCCTGCTCTGTCTCTACCTTCTTCCAGACGTGTAGCTTATGATTCGTCAAAGTTTTTCCGGCAACTGACTACAGAGCAAATCTGAAGCCAAAAAAGTGTTGCGGTCAGATCTGTTGAGAAATAACAAAAAAACTCGTCTTCTCCGGTGGCTGGTGGTGGTTCCACCACCTTCTTATGTTTTTATGGTAAGATGTGATTTTTTTTAATAAGAACTCACCTTCTGTTGGTGGTTGTGGTGGTTCTACCGTTACCGCTTCCCTTCTTTGCTCTCTGTCTTTTTGATTTTTGAAAACTGATTTTTGAAAACAACAGGCAGACAAAGGTGTTTGATGAAATGCCTCAATGAAAATGATTTATGTTTTAATTTGTGAATAATGTGAATGAGTATTTGAACTAGTCTATTAAG